CGCGGGCTCCCCGCTGACTCAGAGCATCCCGCCGGGCGACGCTGGCTGGGACGAGCCCAGGCAGGGCCGAGGGCTGCCAGGGGCCGGGGCCCTGCCCTGACCCTGCGGAGGGGCACACGCCCCCCCCCCCCCCCCCCCCCCCCATTCCTGGGGCACCCACGGGTGGTGGGTTCCCACGTCTCCCATCCATGGGTCCCCACTTGCAGGGGGAGGTAAGGCAGCATCGGTGCCCCCAGCCCTGCCTGGAGTGTGCCCACCTGCCCCAGCCCAGCTTTGCGGGCCGAGGGCACGAGACCCATGTGCGGGAGTGCAGCCCCCAGGCCCTCAGCACAACACCCCGACCTTGCCTCCCCACTCCCCTGGGCCCCGAGCTGGGAAATGCCTAAAATGGAGGAGGCTGGGAGAAGGGATGGGACTGGACCCCGGCCCACCGATGATGGCAGAGCCTGCGGGCAGCACCTGTGGCTGGGCAGGGGCTGGGCTGGGCCGTGCCCGATGGCCCCCACCAGCGGGGACATCCACCATGGGGATCCACAGCCCTGGCAGTGCCACCCACCGGCTTGATGCCACCCAGGGTGACCCCAGGCTCGATGCCCACCGGCCGCAATTGCCCCAGGGCTGTCCACCAGCCCCATGCCCAGCAAGTGTGCCCAGGCTCGGTACCACCTGAGGATGCCCAAAGCTCAGTACCACCAAGGGTGCCCGGGCTCAGTGCGGGTTGGTACCACCGGGGGACTTGGTACCACCAGGAGTGTCCACCAGCTCGGTACCACCCGGGGCTCAGTATCACCTGGGGGTACTCACCTGCTCGATACCACCCGGGGCTCGATGCCACCAGCAGTGCCCGGCGGCTCAGTACTACCTGGGGTACTCACTGGCTCGGTACCGCCTGGGGATGCCCGGTGGCTCAGTACCACCCGGGGCTTGGTGGCTCAGTACCACTGGGGGTACTCACCGGCTCGGTACCACCCTGGGGCTCCCTTGGTGCCACTGGGGGTGCCCAGTGGCTCAGTACCGCTCGGGGCTCAGCACCACCTGGGGGTACTCATCGGCTCGGTAACGCCCGGGGGTGCCCGGTGGCTCGGTACCACCGGGGGATACTCACCTGTTCGCTACCACCTGGGGCTCGGTGCCACCGGGGATGCCCGGTGGCTCTGTACCAC